ATTCCTACCACATTCGGGCCCAAATGTGGTAGGAATTTCCGCGGGCAATATAAAAGTATACAAAATTTGCAAACTTTGCAAGGCTATATTTTCTGCATTTTACAACATTTCGCAACCAAACTTTGCAATTTTACTAATTTTAGTATGCTCTTTCTAGCTGTGGTGATTTATTTGCATCTCCTTGCCTAGTTCTAAAATTAGTTTATAATGGGAATTGTCTACTGAAATCAACTCTCAACAACTTCTTATCATTGGTTTCGTACGCGATCTGACCAATACATGATTCCAGTTATAGACTAAGTTTTGATCCAGACAAGAAGGATGAAATCTATCATTGAAGCTTAAGAGAACATCCTTAAATTAGTAAAATTGCCAAATTTGGTTGCAGAATGTTTTAAAATACGGAAAATATAGATCCGTGAAATTAGTAAATTTTCATGAGTATTTTAGTATTTACGCGCGGGAAAATGCACCACTTTTGAGCCGAAAGTATTTTACAGCATTTCGCAATCAAACTTTGCAATTTTACTAATTTTAGGATGCTCTTTTGAGCTATAATAGAGGGTCTTGAAGGGTGGGGGTGGGGGTCCCAATCCCATTTCCCACCTGAAATTTTGGCAAAATCCCAGTCCCAGTTAGATTTTTATTAGAAATCCCAGTCAATAAAAAACGTTATTCATCGGTAGAATAAACCGAGTTTTAAGAATAATATAGTTAGCAACAAAAATCATGACCAAAGACACCAAAAACGGATCAAAATTGTATTAAAATACTTAAAACGTGGAAAAATTGGGAATCGACTCGCATAACCTCAATCCCATTCCCATTTTTGAGGACTTCATTTCCCATTCCCAGTGGCCAAATCCCAGTCCCAGCAACCCAAATCCCATTTTCCCAGTCTAAAAATAGATCAATCCCAGTTCCCATTTTACCCCTTCAGGACCCTCATAATAATAGATTTCGTCTTTCTTGTCTAGATAAAAAATTGTCGATAGCTAGAATCATCCAGTATTGATTAACATCAACTTCCATTCAATCTGACCATTCAACCAAATTTCATTCAATCACCTACTCTCATAAACTCTTATCAAATCTCCTGGAATTTTAGCTTGTATACATGAAGTTCAAGCAACAGGCTAGGAATGAAAACCTACGTACTCGAAGGGTCGTGTTGGTATTCCTTTTGAAACTTCACCAGGACATCATCCAAAGTTTGTGATATTTCTTCTCTTGTCACAATCTCGTCTTCATTCAAATCCATGTCAAGAAATAATTCTCGAGCAATTTTCTCAGAACCACCCAAGGTCTTAATGGGAAGAAAGTGATGAGTGTTGTGCGATATATTGGGGTGTTTAAGAACAGTTCTGCCCAAGTGCTAAACGCTTCATGTTTTAAATTTGTCAGAACATCTCTACAATACCTCGTATGCAGTTCTCAACATTTCTTGGCTGAAACTTCCATCGTTATCAATCAACAGTGTTTCGATCATTTCCCTGGAAAAAGAGACAGATTTAAGAGCTTCTGAGATATGTGGGTGATGGTGGTTTGATGATGGTAATGGTGAAGACATCGATGATGATGATCGTGACGTGATTGATGGTGATGATGATGGTGATGATGATGATGGTAGTGATGATGGTGATGGTGATGATGGTGATGATGATGATGGTGATGATGATGATGGTGATGATGATGATGGTGGTGATGATGATGATGGTGATGATGGTGATATATGATGATGATGATGGTAATGATGGTGATGATGGTGATGGTGATGATGGTGATGATGATGGTGATGATGATGGTGATGATGATGATGGTGATGATGATGATGGTGATGATGATGGTAATGATGATGGTGGTGGTAATGATGGTGATGATGATAACTGCATGGTGATGATAGAATGGTACCATACCTTACATCTTCTGGTGCAAAGATGGCATGTTCATACTCCTCAGTGTTAGCAGGATCACCATCAATTAACATGACCAGTGATTTCAACTGATCAATTGAAAGCTTCATAATAAACTCTGATGTAATTTGACCGTTACAGAATGTCTTTAACTCTTGGTACATCTATAGAATAGCATGTTAATGTTAATATTAATATTAATGGTTAATGATTGCTGTCAATTTAACATGATTAATCAGTCCAAGATGACCGTTGTCACAGCATAATTAATAGTGTAACAATTATTGTTAGCTTAATTAATACGAAATCAGTTTCTTACCAATTCTGCAAGATTTTTTCTCTGACTTTCATGATCAAGCATATCAGCCTATTAAATGGTAAACAAACTAATGAAACTATGCACTTAATACCTGAAGTTTTATATAATATATCTTTCTAAGTTTCTTAATAAATGCTTATCAGTTAAAAACTGTCCTACATTTTCTCATACCTACTATTTGACAAATATTCTGATATACCTCGGTAAACCATTTGAAAAACAAATCGGAATTATCAATTTTTTCATTTCTGCTTTCCAGGTCTCCAATCATTTCTGCCAACGCGTCTCTAAGACAATTTTAGACAATAGACTTTACTAGACGATTTTAGACAATAGACTTTACTGTTTATTGTTGAAGGATTTTGTAGAATCTGTAGGTGGCAATGGACCATTTGCATTATAGACTAAATTTTGATCTCAACAAGTCTAGATAAAAATTTCATCACAGCTTGAAAGAGCATCACAAAATTAGTAATATTCCAATGTTTCGTTGCGAAATGTCGTAAAATGCGGATAATATAGCCTTGCGAATTTTGCCGTTTTTCAGTCATTTTCTATTACAAACGGGAAATTGACAGCCCCAAAGGGTATTGGGCTGTCAATTTCCCCCGCGTAATGCAAAATGACTGAAAAACGGCAAACTTCGCAAAGCCATATTATCCGCATTTTACAACATTTCGCAACGAAACTTTGGAATATTACTAATTTTGTGATGCCTTTTCAAGCTGTGATAAAATTAAAAATTTTTATCTAGACTTGTACGTTGAGATCAAAATGTAGTCTATAATGCAATGGCCCATTACGCGGGTGTGTGAATTCTATACATTTTTTAGTCATAACCAGGAGAAGTTGCGAAAAATGCAACTGATAGTGATATCATGATAAGAACACAATGGTATCGAAGGTACTAGACTAGTAGACTTAGTTCCGAAATACCACACACTCGAACCGCCTTGACCTCGTATAGCTCAGTTGGCAGAGCATTGGACTAGTATCCCAAAGGTCGCGGGTTGATTCCCACCGTGGTCAGGCAAACTTTTCAGCCTGCCCGGTGTGGACATACATGCACTCAGAGTAACATCAAAAACATGATAGTGAATATAATTCATCGACGATGATGGTGGTGATTGTAATAATATACCTGATTTCAAAAGGGTCATTATTTCCCAGTGTTTGTGGCCCATAACCAGGGTATGTCCACACCATACCAGCATCAGCCAGAGAGAATGGTGCGTATTCTGTTTTATCACAACCACTGGGATTGAATGCCTTCAATCTTGAGAATAAGACTGAGACAGCCATGTTTTTACTGCCATACGATCTCACTTGATGCCAATAACCTGCCATGAAATTGTACATTCATTTATTGCTAGGCCGCAAATCGCTCACCTTAATGCCTTCTTAAAAGAGGCATTATTTGGATAAGTAATTTGCGTGGACGTTATACTCAATAAAACCTAACTCCTAAGTGCTCAGGACTACCGAGTCTCTCACATTTGGCGGGAGATGCCCGTTTTTTTGGACACATTATTCATTTCCCTAGTTTACTTGAGCCTACAACACTAATTAGAGGGCCCCCTATACTTTTTGCGTGAAGCGTGATGGGCTTATTTTACTTATAGCCGTGAAACGTGATCGATGATTTTCTTAATCCGTGATTCGTGATGGTATGACTTCCAATCTTTTTACGTGCACGTGAAAGAAAGATTCGATTTAACCGTGACCCGTGAATGGCAGATAGAAATATTCGTGATTCGTGAATCTTCTGTTTTGTGACCTTTTGTGTGATCAGCTTTCCAAGGAATAAATACGGTTTGTTGCTGTTTTTTGAAGTACTTGATGTACAGAAGCCTGTTTTCGACATAGTTGGAGGTTTGAAAGCATGTCGAGGTAAGTACAGACGAGTACAATGATTCTCCAATTAAGGAAGACATCCTATAATAATTCGTGAACTTTGTTTTACTTTTAATACGTGAATCGTGATCGCTTCGATTTTTCCGTGAACGTGAACGCCGGAATTTTTTCAATTTTTCGTGACTCGTGAAAAGGCAAAATATTTTTACGTGAAAGCATTTTGTGAAGAGGTATAGGGGGCCCTCTAATTAATTTTTGCTGTTCTAATTTGAAAGGTGACAGCTAACTGGGACGCTTCAAGCACTAGTATGTCTAGTATACAACTATTATTGTAAACTGATTATAACTGATGAAAAAAATCATCTACTCATCGCCGGTTACTTAGGGAAAGTACATTTATTATGCCGAGGGGGGGGGGGATGAAGATGTTAAGGGGGGGCTCCGAAATATTTTCTGGCATTAAAGGGGGGGCTCTGAAAGTTCTTGATATACTGAAGGGGGCTCTAAACTTTTCAAAGGTTTGACCCCAGCAAATTAAAGTTAAAATTTTTACATTTTCAGGTAAAATTTGCGTAATAAAGTAATTATTTTTGTGAAATGATAACCATTTTTGTAAAATACAGTCAATTTACATGCAATTTGTTTGCGAAATTTGCTTTAGAAAACGCCAGAAATTCAGTCCTAGAGCTTCAAAAATACCTATCAGACCCCCCTTTTCTCCCAAAATTTAGTATGAGAGTGCCAATCAATCACAAAAAGCTTTATTATAATTATTACACGTATAATCCTCTGACATCCCCCCCCCAAACGTCAGATGCTTTGCCACGTCCCTGATGGTTGTATTCGAAACCGATTTCAGTTTTAAGATATCCTTAGTCTGCTCTTCTAAATGGATACATGAAATCACCTATAGCTTATTTTAAATTTTTTGGTGCCAGGTTTGTGAAGTAATTTACGCGCCAAAAAGTAGCAGTTCCAAAAACAAAAAAGCATATATACGATTTGCAAGAATGATATGTTCTATGTTTATGGGATATTTCGTACAAACGGGATGGAAATTAAAGAAATTGAAGCATACTGGCCACTTTTGCATGCATTTTTGAAGACATTTGCAACAGATGCCGGGAGATACGTTGGGTGGGGGCGACATACTGTAAGGTTCCAGCACATTACCCTGATCCAGGAAATCCTGGCCACTACATGAACGTGTTCAAGACTCCGAATACGCTGAATGATGGACAACAACAACTTGTTGATAATTTCACCCCTAGAGCCAATTTAAAATGTTTTAAAGACGGTGCCATTTCATCTGGCGCTAGTGAGGTGAAAGAAGCAGCAGATCGGTAGTTTTGTTGAGGAGAAGCACATGCTTGAGTATATCAGACATCTTGAGGAACTGCAAATTGTATCTATGATAAGAGAGAATTCCGGATTGTACTCCTTCGATTCCGAATTCTAGAGGGGGGGCATTGAAAATTTTAAAAACTTGGAGGGGGGGCATCGAAATTTACCGATAACCTCAACAGGGGCCCTGTAAAAATATGAGCTTTTTTCAAGACATCTTCATCCCCCTCCCTCAGTGTAATAAATGTACTTTCCCTTATAAGCCATATCTTATCGGCATGCCGGCGTTGATGACACGTTAATGAGTTGCACAGCTGAGCAAGAGCACTCTGAATGTAGCTTTTAATTACTACTTTTGAATAGTCTGACAGACTAAACGACAAGCTCTCTAAACAAAGCTCGATCATTCTGAGCTGAAGAAAGTGAATATGCTATAAATAAATCCGAAGTTCTCTTGCATATTAAATTTGGAGGTCACCAATGGGCTAGCATGGTAATTCCCACTTAGTAGACTTAGCTAGCTGTGTGGTAGATCTTATATTGTAATTTCACTTGTTTTATTCACAACACCTTGACCTTGTCCTTGGCAGGTGCGTCTTTGTCAAACTAAAAAGGTTTGGGGTATGGTGACTAAACTAGGAACATTATCTCACCATATGGTAAAAACAAGCAGTCTCCAGCAGTAATATTTGCATATTGCCAGGGAACATGTTGAAAATCAGAATATTTAATGAGGTTAACACTGTTCACATCCAAGACAGCAAAACCGCCATAACCTTTATCACCTTGGGCTATAGGGATCTAAAATGTTGAGAATTGAACAGCATATTCTTAAGGTGGGTTTCAGAAATGTATTGAACTTATAGAAGCAAAATTCCTATTACATGCAGTCAGTACATGCATGACCATCAAGTGGTGCACAAACTTGGTTTTATGGTTAAAACAATGTCACCAGCTGCATACATGCAGTGGTGTATCTTTGGGTTAACTATCATGCTATAGGAGACCTATAATTGCTAATTGGACTGAAAAGTACCCTCTGGTATCTTGGATGTGAAGCTGATCTGCATACTTGTGAGTGCCATTAAAGTTGCATGAGCTATATTTCAGTTTATGATCTATTATAGGCATAAAAAATATAAATAGAGCACAACTGGTACATTAAGTCATTCCAAGATACATAATTCTGTTGTCATGTTATTTACGTCCAGGGCATTATCTTGTGTATATATATATATATATATATATATATATATATATATATATATATATATATATATATATATATATATATATATATATATATATATATATATATATATATATATATATATATATATATAGTATAAATTTACTAATTTCCCAACTTTTCTAGGGGGAGACCAGGGCATGCTCACAGGGAAAATTTGAAGCTAGACTCTCTGAAATGCTATTTCCCGGACTTTGGGGAGAGATTTTACAGAATTCTGATGGTCAGAAAATGACAATATGACATTGTGACATATCAGAGGCCCTGGCCAATGTTTTTGCTCTACAACCTGACCCTGGGGGCCCCCATTTGGCCCATCGGGGTTGGGGGCTCCCGGGTTTGCCCGGTCCGAGCCCATAGAAGTTATGCCACTGCATTGGAACATTTCCTGTGAAGGCCCCCACAGGCCACCTATAGACTTTTTCGTAATTAAGGGCCGGAGAACTGATAGAACTATCAAATTTCAATAAACATAGTTTTGTTTAGGTATACCGAGGGCTCTACCATGCACTGAAAAGTAAACATTGATCAACAGAGTAAAATATATGGTCGTCAGCTTCAAACCTACAAAGAAACATTAATTTATACTTTATCCTCGTGTTTTGGATCAATCAAAATCCAGTCTTTGGTCCCATTTAACAAACAATTAATAGCATTATCAGCATCACGATGCAACAGGCTAGACGTGCCCCCGCTACTCAGCCAGAGGGTCGCCTCCATAATTCTTTTGGTGAACGTCCCGCATGACAGGCACGACAGAACGTCGACATCCCGCGCCATCGGGTCGGGTAACTGAGAGACCACATACGAGTCTTTTGCGTGATAATCACTCAGATAACTTTTAATGGTATCACGCCCTAGGCCCCTTTCCCCGATCGGGGTTTCGTCCTTCTCCTTTTTCGATTCCAATTTAACTTCGAGGTTGCCAAAATTTTCTGTCAAAAATTCGTCAGTCCATAACTTAAACGCAGGGAAACGTTTTGCAGCCCCTTTGAAAACAACTGGCGTTCCGGCGCTCGCATAATTTTCCCAAAATATTGACGGGGTTGGGATTTCGTGTAACTCTTCGACGTGGCCAACTGAAGGTCGATGTCTCCCAAGCTCTTCTCCATGACCCAAAGGGATTTTTACATCAGTTTTTCCTGTAGATATTTGTAAAATACACAGCAACAATATAAGATAGCTTTCCATATTTTGTTAGATATTTGTTGTTTTTGCAAAATGCTACAGGAAGTTTATCTGTTGTTTGTCATTTGTCCCTTTAAACTTTTTGTTTTATTTCCGGGTGCGAAGGTGGTTGCAGGCTACAAAAATGTAATTTACACTGGAATGCGGAATAGTCTTATAATATAAACAAGAAGACTGTTTGAACTGTTTGAAGGATTAAAAACATTTCGGCATTTCAAGCAAAGATCTTTTTCAGGAGTGTAGTGTATTTTTAATAATCTTTTTCAGTTAATTCAGATTTCAGACTGTACTGCACGGCCGGCAACATAGTAGCCTGCGAACAGGCTCTCAAGTATCCATTATATTCCCATTAAATAAAGTATTCAGCCTGCAGGCTCACTTTAAAGACCATTACAAAAAAAAATCAAAATGGCTACTTGTGCTGGAATTTTACGTGAAAAATTTCCTCAAATTGATGAAGAAATGTTTAGTTATATAAATGGTAAGGTTGTTTCGTTGTTAGTTATTAATGTGGTAAAGTTTGAATAAGATTTACGTAAGAATTGGGTTAGATTTGCTATGATTAAAATATATCAGTGTGACATATAGTTGGTTGATGTTTTGACACGACACGTGTATAAAAACTACGATTTAAAACATATTTTTATGGGTGTTTTGGTGACTAACAAGTTAAAACAAATATGATTTGTGGTTGGTTTGTGTGATCAGTGACTTGTTCTTTAGAAAATTTATTCTGTTTAGTTTTATTGTATTTGAAATTGATTGTTTAATCAACCAATCACAAAGCTGGGCTGGCCAACTAAGCGAGATCTCACTTTCTTTCATAGTAGGAACTAGTTTGTTTTTATATGGATGACTAGGCTGTCCTGCTTGGTGTGGTCCCACAATGAAAATTTGGGTTGATTGAAAATTTTACTTGTCTGTTCAACCCATTGAGCCGCAATGCACCCCACTTATTTTTTTACTTGTCTAATGCCAGACGATTTTACTCATCAATGGGGAAGCTCTGCAGCTTAATGGGTTAACCAAAAAATCTGACAGTGTCTCTAGTTAACCCATTGAGCCGCAATGCGAGCCGGTGCACCCTACTTTTTTTTTACTTGTCTAACGCCAGACAATTTACGCGTCATTGGGGAAGCTCTGCAGCTTAATGGGTTAACCAAAAAATCTGGCAATGTCTCTAGTTAACCCATTAAGCCACAATGGGGCCCAGTTCGCCCTACTTATTTTTTTACTTGTCTAACGCCAGACGATTTTACTCGTTGTGGGAGGAGCTCTGCAGCTGAATGGATTAATGCCAGACAATTTTACTTGGAAATTTTATTCTGTCCATGTGTCTTGTTAATTCTCTTTGGGTGCACACATGGAAAGATAGTCTGATTAGTGATTAATCTATCGCCAGTTGCACTCTCCTCTTAATGAGTAAAATGGTCTGCAAATTGGCACTACCCTGGCCAGGGTTAACTTGCGTTGCATGTGCCCTAATAATGCAACATATTTTTTCCCGATCTGTCTATAATGCCAGACAGGGGAAAGTGCTGCCACTTTCAGGGTAATTATGCCCTATCCTATCAATTTAAACACAAGATGCTCTTGGGTTTTAGTGGTCAATAAGTTAATATAATATCCTTTCGGTACTTATAATTTTTCAGGAATTTTGGAGTCAAGCAGTGAGGATTTTGAGAATGCGTCAGACGTGTATGACGCTGTTGGTGATTTATTTCTGGAAATCTCAGAAAATGGTTCTGATGTTATCCAAGATCTTTGTGAACAGTTGTTAGGAATCTTAAAAATGTGAGTAATGTATAATAATTAATATATAACGAACCATTTATATGTATCCATGATTATATACATGCATATGCAGCGTAAACTTTTACCATTTATCTCCATGATTAAGCTTAATTTAATAATGTTATGGTAATTAAAACAAGGGTGTATGGAAGTGAGATCGAGGTTGCATATAAACCCTTACAAAAAAAAGTCTATATATAGGTGGCCTATAGGTGCCTATAGGAAATGTTCCAAAATTTGCCCTATAGAAACCTTTAGGCATCCCTATACTGTAGGTCACCTATAGAAAATGTTCCAATTGCCTATCAGATTATAGACTTTTTTATATGGAAGTTTATTGAACTCTAATACCTGGGCAGTCGAATCAGTAAATTAACCTGAATGAATATCGCAAAATCATCTCTCTTTCATCAACTCTCATACAAATTTGAACCAGCTGCGCATGACAATCATAGCCATTAATTAGCCATTACATGTATTAATTATATATATTTACCCAATTTGAACACTAATATTGGTGAGTGAAATCATCTGGCATCTAAGACAGATTAAAATAAATAGATAATATATTTTGGGTTATAAATGCAACTTAATGGATTAATTAATACATTCACTTCATTTCTAGAAATTCACAGAATGGTACAACTGAGCCTACAAAGCTTCACACTCCTGTTCAGTTGAAGGACATGGTAGACAATTATGTTGGTAAGTATTAGTAAAGTCTTTTATGTTCATGTCATTTAATATTTAAATCATGTAAAATAATAATTATAGATATACCGGTAACTATGTCATGCATTTAAGCCCAAATATTCTTAATTAATCTAACTCAATGATAATCTCTTGATCGCAGTAATGTTACTGATCATCATGACAGCCAGTGAGACTGTGGTCATTGTAACTGTTGATCATCGTTACCATAATGATTATTGGCCATCAATCCTACCATGATCATCATTACCATCATTGATCATTACCATTATCATCCGATAATCACCATAATCATTGTTCATCTGAATAGCATAAATTATATGATCATCACTATATATTTGATCATTACCATATTATTACCATCATTGATCATGATCATTAACATTATCATCATGATCACAATTATCATCATCATTGATATAATTGATCATGCATTAACATCATCATCACCACCATCATGCACTCATCATCTGATCACACGGTGCACCTGCAGTCACCAACATCATGCAACTTCACTGCATTTTTACATGCACAGTTCACCATGATCAATCGATCGCTAGGAACAAGCACCTGAGTTTACTACAACCTTCACCACCTGACAATCATCATGAAAACTTTTTTTTGTTTTTTATCAAAACAGTTGAAAATGCTGAAGAAAATGCAAGTATTTGGCTTGTAAAGAAAGATGATTTAAGAGAGGTGAACTAAATTTGAAATGTTAAATTAATATTTTTAATTAAAAGAAATGCATTCATGCGTGACTGGATCCTTTAATAGCGAAGGAAAATTTTTAATATTTAAATTTTTTTTATTATTTGTTTAATGAATGAAGACAGTTGATTCGAAGAAGCTGGAAAAAGCGGAGGCCAAAATTAAAGCAAAACAAGATAAAAGGATTTTGAAAGAAAACACAACTGGACCACAAACTAAAAGGTTTGAGAGCTTGTAACTTTTTGTTCCACTATAGGTCTCAATATATATTAACCCATTGAGTTGCAGTACTCTCCCGTTGACATGTAAAATTGTCTGGCATTGACAGGCTCAGTATAATACACTAATAAAGTAAGAATGCATAAGGGTACAATGCAACTCAATGGGTTAACTAGACACAATGGATAGATTGTCTGATTAACTCATTCATTGAGCACTGATGCTATAGCTCCTTTGATGAGTAAAATCATCAGGCATTAGAAAATAACAAAGTAAAATAACAAAGTAGGGTGCATTAGGACACAATTAATGTAACTCCATGGGTTAATTACTACGTAATATATAATACATAGATTTGTATTAATTTTACCAGCAAAATTGAGAGCCTGAAATCAACATTGCATAACATTTAGTTTCACAGACAATGCGTCAGTGAGTCACACAAAGAACAGGAGAGATGCTCACTTGGAGAAAGTTGGTTACTCACAGGATATCCATCTGGAGAATATTGACTTGGCATTTGGAGACAGGTATTGTTTCATTTAAACAAGCTTTCGTTGGTATAGGGATGCAACTACCTCAAAAATATAAGGAGAATGTCGACGTTTTGAGCGACGAACGCCCTTCGTCTGGAGTTACTAATGGGGGATCGAGAAAATTACATGAGCTTTTATACGCAATATATAACCAAGGGAGAAAATCCATTCCAAAAAAGTGGGGAGGGGAGAGAGATTTTTAGGTTGCCAATTATAGATTGTGGTGCCCAAACGAAGTTAGCCATTGCTTAGAGGCATATTGCCAACCTCGTTCCCAGGGTCTGCCATTCAAAGAAATAAAGACCCTGGGACCGAGGTTGGCATATTGCTTATCTATTTTCACTGCGCGACTAGTTTATTAGTCTGTTAGTTACTTTAATTTGTTAGTCTGTTTGTTTGGAATCATAATCCATGGTATTTATTCAAGAATAGTACAGCATGTCTTCGCTCGTGTCGTGCACTTGTTCTGCACTATGAACAGATGCATGTATGTCAGTTTATATTAGATAATCACCAATAATCAAAACTGTATACTGTAGAAAAATATAGTATCACCCATCTCTGCTAAAAAGCCTTCCTTAACTCTTAAGGTCCAGACACACCGGACGCGATTCGACAACGCGACGCGATTTTTTAGTTTTTGAAAGTTAATAAAACAGCCAATGAGAGCAAATTTTTAAAAGATATGTACATAACTCAACATGTTATAGCGCTTCTAAATATTTGGAAAATTTAAACTAGGATCAGAGTTAATATTCGGTCAGTGAAAATCGAAAAATTGCGTCGCGTTGTTGAATCGCGTCCGGTGTGTCAGGGGGGAAGCTGCGTCGTCGCTGCGTCAATTCTGGACAAACCCACTGACCAAAACGAATGAATTTTTGCGCCTAAGCTCACATTTTTATTCAAAGGGTGTTATTAACTGGTGCCGATTTGATGTTAAATTATGGGCATCGTTATGGTTTGATTGGCAGAAATGGAGTAGGGAAGACCACGTTACTGCGTTCATTATCACAGTGAGTTTTGATTTCGAAATTTTCAAAATGTTTTTGTTTAAAATTGTTCCTGAACCTTGCGCTCTACTCGATTATTGCTAAACATATAGCCTATTATCGTAAGCAGCTTTATTTAGTGATTTTGAAATACGTCATTTTGTTTGTGTTTAGGAGAGAGTTACATGTTTCTTCTCATCTGTCAATACTGCACGTTGAACAAGAGGTACCGTATGTTGTGCTTTAAGTCGACCAGATGTATACTGTAGAAAGCGCCTGTAAAGTTTTCTGTACTAATTGGGGGAGGGGCACTTAACATAATTTTAGTTTACGTCTGAAAAGGCCACTTTTCCCATTGATTTTTTCAGGAGAACGTGAGTCGGGGGTTAGCAATGTTTTTTTGTTTAATTTTGTTAAGAAAGTGGGCTATTTTAATTTCTTCAGGTCGTGGGGAACGAGACGCCAGCTCTAGAAAGTGTGTTGGAATGTGATGTAAAAAGAACTAATTTAATAAAAGAAGAGAAAACTCTTACTGCGCAACTTCAGTCTAACAGGTGAGCATAAATTATGATACATCAACGATTCGACGTTTTATAAGCGTTACACGTACAGGCTGCAGACGGTGGTCAAATTCTGACACTTAAAAGAGCAAACGAATGGAAGCACGTCTCTCAATAGACCTTATGCATAATGACGTCACAAAGCTTGAAGCCCGCAAGGAATGATAGTCTTAGTAGTCATCGCCCGGGAAAATTAAAGAATTAAAAATGCCCGCTATCGAAATTTTCCTGGGCGATGACTACTAAGACCAGCATTCTTCGCGGGTATCAAGCCTTGTGACGTCATTATGCATAAGTTCTATTCCATTTTACCCCCACCAAACATAAGATTACAATATATGATTTTTTCTCAGAGCAAGTCGTAGTGCATGTGCGCGTAGTCAGACCAAGCGTCTTTCACCTGTGACTTTGTGGATCCTGTTCTCGCTTGCGAACTCATGTGAAAAAGAGTCTGTCAGAAACCAACCTTTTCTTTTTTTGGCCCTAATACATGTCCAGAAATGTTTATTCTGCATGTGCGCAAAAAGATATAATTTGTTGTATTTTTCTTCCCCTATATAGTCAATCACAGAGTAATGCAAGTTGTGAGAGTCGTTTGGCAGAGGTACTGTGTATATACTGCATTCAATACATTTCATAGCGTTAAGCTTGGCTACATGACATTATGTCTGTAGCAATTTTGCCAGCGATTTTTGTCCGGCAACAGACAGCAAGATCCCGCCTATAGGCGGAACGGAGAGTTTATATATTATGAACCGGATCTTGGAAACTGCCCGTCCCTCTCGGCAGGGATTAATAAAACAGGTCATTGGGCATTGTTTACTTCCCGGAATCGTTGTAAGTGTTTACGTGGAAATATCTACCGTTATCGGTTGTATATATTTCAACTGTGGTGACAGCGAAAGTTAAGTAAATTGTGGATTTTACCAGTCATTAGCTTGCGTTGGACAATGAGCTATTTTGTCTTTAATAAGTTAGTGACTTTATGATAAATGTTTCGTTTTAATAGCGGTCGAAATTCCATTGTAAAACAGAACAACAGAGTGTCTAAAAACGATATGATGCTTTCTTTTGTGAATGCATGCCTCCAATTGCAACTCTCCTTTATGTAACACAGAATTATCGACTTGGGATTAATATTTAATGAAATGCCTATCGAGGAGGTAGCTGTATCAGGGCAACGGTTTGATCTATGTTTCGTTTCAAATATTTTATTACACTATGTGCTTGTTCAGCTTGAGACTGCCGAAGTGTATAAAACGATCTGACAATTTAACTTCTTGCTTTCTTTTCTGGATAAAATTAAATTCACCTAATGCAACTATCATTTGATAGTTTGTGACACAGAAATTATCGACTACAAGGCTGTACACAGAGTCGTATAATTATATTAAACATTTCAAAATTTTATTGAAGTATCTATTCTAATAACAAATTCCTTTTACATGGATTATTATACATGAAACTGAACATTTGTTGAGATATTTTAACAGTCATGAGTTTAAGTATCTTCTGACACATGTGTGAAGCTCTATTCTAATTGCACAAATAGTCCTATTTATATAATCAGGCTGTATAATAATATACTTACAATACATGTCGAATTCTATACCGTAGTTCTAGATTGTTTGCCTTATTAATAGTCTATTTCTGAAGTCCGACGATTCTGGTAGGCTATCTTTTGTAACTCTTTATATCGTTTGATTGCTCACCATATCGTTTGATTGATTCGGCTCTAGGAGCTCGAGAGGTCTTAAGAGTATAACCAAAGCCCTGCCATATTTGTCGAATTTGCCAAACACAGCATACAGTACCAAATACTTGTTTTTGTTCAACTCATCTTGGAGATCCTTTCTATCCCATATTGTGGTATCATAGTCAAATTCATCAGGGTCTTCTCCCATACACAAATGGGCCAAGAAGTCACGCACAAGCTTTCCATTTTCTTCGCGAAGCTCCGGTGCGTAGACGTCCTCTAAACGTCATCTGAACCTCACCAGCTCTCCTTTGCGATAGAACGCTAAGTCGCAAGTGTCTCCATCATAAATTGATACAACCTTCGCTTTTTTTTCTAGTCCTTCCAGAGTAAAACGGTCAACATTTTTGTTTGTTACTTTCTTAAGCTTGGTCGAACTCATTCTTCAAGAATTAACTTTATTGAGTGTTTGCGTACATGGAAATGCTCTATATTTTGTAAACTAGATATAGCATACTTTAAATGGGAAACACCTGTCGAAGAGGCAGTTGTATCAGAGTTTAGTTGCTATATCAGTGATATATGTTTCGTATTAATAGCGAAACTAAATTTCATGTACATGTGTACATTATGGCGCCTTGGCTATATGCGCTTTTTTGCTTGAGATGGCCGAAGACGAAGCGTATCAAACGATCGGGATATAAAAATTGAATTCATCTTATATATGTGACAGAAATTATATCGACTTGGACTACAAAGCTACATATACAGATCCGTATGAAACATTTCAAAATTTTATTGCTCATATACATGCACGAAGTTCTATTCTATTAACATAATTCGTTTTACATGGATTAGTATATGCACGAAACTGAACATGAGTTATTCTTGAGACTATTTTAACACTGAGTTTCGTATATTTTGACACATGCATATTTAAAGCTACGCCGTATACCGATTGTACAAATAACCCTACAGTGTATATGGCTATATATAGCTACAGTACAATGCAAATGCCAATAAAAGAGTTCAACATATAGCAATTGTACGAATATAGTCGTATGGCTATATATACAGCACATGTCAAGTACAAAATAGTTCGTCGCTTGCATTTTCCGAATCTGAAGAGTCTTGATTATTGCGGTTTTAGGGTAGCATATCTATATATTGCGCCATCATACTATTGATTGATGTATTTTCATATCCTGGAGGGTCGTCGTCTGGAGAGGCGACGAAATCACATGAGCTCTTGTCCGAGCTGTTGTCTTCTTCTTTCAAGGTCTGATAAAGTGTTACTAACTGCCGACCATACTTCCCTGGTCCCCCAAATTCAGCATAGACTAAGCTATCCTCGTTGTTGTCTAACTTTTGTTGCACACGCTTTTCAGTCCGTAAGTTCCCGGCATTATATGTTTGAGCATTCCCTCCCGTGCATAAATGAGTCAAATAACCTCGGGCTAGTTCACCGCTCGGTTTCTCTTCTAACTCTGGTGCATTGTAATCCAACATACGACATTTGTATCGCACGGGTTCATTCAGATTCAGCTGCTGCTCGTCTTGATAAAACACCAAATCACATGTATCTCCGTCGTAAACTGAAACTACTTTAGCGTATCTTTTCAGTGTTTTGAGGGTAAAACGTGGGACACTGTTGTTTTTCAGTTTTAGATTGGCATGGTATAATGCTGGATTCTGCATTCTCGAAGATTTTATAAAGTTGTTCACGCCGGTTTGTTTCACCTTTTGTAATGTCGAAGCGAAACGATTTGCATGGTTAAATATACAAGGGCTAGATTCATTACGTAGTATATGACGTCATTCCCAATAATCGCAGAATAATACATTACTGCATTACATTATTATTCAGCTCACTCCCCATTTGGGCATTTCAGTGAACGATTACATCAAGTATTACCCTTATATTCAGCATGTTACTCAGCTTAGACTATTTATCTTTACAACAATTGTGATATTAATTTTCTTAACTGTGTTTTTTTTAACCTAACCCACTCTGCCAAGGTGCCCTGTTCGAGGAAACCGGAGCGCTCGGAGAAAACCCACGACTTTCGGTAGAGCATTGACTGACTCTTTTCTCACTTTTCACTGACATGAGTCCCTAGCAAGCCGGAAGGTGGTGAAAGGCGCTTGCTCTGACGACCATATATACACCACCCTTCTGACGACTACGCGCCATCTATAATACTAGTCGGCATGGATATAAGCAAGTCTTATTTCTCATTCCTGCCATTTTTGAAGCCAACTTTAAGAAGATTTAACATTGGATTTTAATATACCATTACTGTTGATGGGCAACACTTATGGAAATTTAATTTAGGTTTATTTGTTGTACTTATAAATGATAAGACTGCACGTTACCGACCGCTCAGGAACCAATCAAAATGCTGCATCTTGCAGGTTGACACCCCTTGCCATATAATAATACAAGTTACTAAACATTTCGTATAAAATCATAACCATCTGAGAGAGTATAGCCTCATCAGTGATTATTCTACGGTATATTAGCAATGTTAGATTGGGAACTCCAAACAAAACCGTTTAATATGCATGAAAGCGTTCAGAGTATTAAATACCAAGGCCAAGCTTATGGAAATTTAATTTAGCTAACTTTATTTGTTTAAATTGTTCGCTTTATAGTAGAGGTCCAACAATAGTTGAAATTTGGACGTCAAAGCCGTCTGCGGTATTGCGGCATGAACTTAACTTTGTAGATTACAGAAGGTTTTGAGAGATTACAGTATATGATGCAAATTTGTATAATCAGGAAGACCACCACCCATGCTAAATGGCAATGTTTATTTCTTGGAATGGTTTTGTGAGTTAAGCCTGCCGCACACGAGAGCAACTTGTTGAGCTAACCGCCTCGCGTGGCAGCTAGCTCAGCTATGCATTTTCGCCGCACATGCAAACTACCCAACAACAACATAAATGACAAAATCATTTGCATTTTCCTCCATTTTGTTCCTAGTCACATGAAGAAACTATGGTCATAGAATAAAGATCCATATAGAAGGGCCACTCAGCGGTGCAACATGTCCTCGTTTTTTTATGCAAAAATATGCAGTTTACTGGCCAGAAGGCGGAGCAGCCAGCCAATACAGCGCGTTTATTGGCCAGAAAATGTCATTGACTGGCTAGG